GCCCGGATGGGACGGACCTCCCTGGGCGCCGGGGCTTCCCTGGCAGGCCCCCCGGCTCTGCGCGGCGCTCACAGCCAGCGACGCACGCTTCACGGCCTTCCTGCGGCGTCCTGAAGGGTGCGGGGGTTCCCGCTCCTCCTGGGGTGCCCCTCCCCAAAACGCAGCTTGTCCTCGGCCAGAAGGCTCCAGTGCTTGTTTTGCGCGGGAGTCTCACCTGGGGAGGGGCTGATGCCGTTACCAAACTTGAGCTGCCAACTAGCTCTAAGGCTGGAGCATGGGTTGGAATTGGTGTTGGCAGGGAGACGTTCCTAGATGCCAGATTATCGGTGGCCAGGGTTGTTCTCAACGGGTATTTCTCCCTAAAGTTTGTACTGGTTGTGTTTTATTGTTAAAGTTGGAAAATCTTAGAGATTACTGGCTAGCATTTAATTTGTTCTTCTTTTAAATAGGAATTTCAGCTCCGGTGGTATACTTTGTGGATTATGTCACCAACTCCATATATCTTGAAGATATTGTAGGCTCAATTACTGTCCAAGATCATATTTATTCTGTACAACAGAGTGGAAATGATACCAGTAGCCTCCTTCCCTTAGCAGAGAAGATGGGCGAGCTGTTAGCAAGAATGCACGATGAAGATCTGATACACGGGGATCTTACAACTTCCAATATACTTCTGCGGCCACCCGTGGAGAAGCTGGACTTGGTGCTGATAGATTTTGGACTCAGTTTTATTTCAGGTCTTCCAGAGGATAAAGGAGTTGATTTGTATGTGCTGGAAAAAGCTTTCCTTAGCACTCACCCAGATACCGAAATGATGTTTAAAACTCTGCTGCAGACTTACGCAGCGACGTCTAAAAAATCTGGTCCTGTGATCAAAAAGCTGGATGAAGTACGGCTAAGAGGGAGGAAGAGGTCCATGATTGGGTAGAAGAGAGTGGGCTTGGGGGTGCAGAAATGTTATTACTTAGGTTCTGAAAATATGATTATTTATACTTCCAGTTGGTTTTATTTCCCAGATGACTATTTTGATAACTGTGTCTTCAAATAAAAAAAGAGTGAGTTTAAGTGTCATAAAGTAACCAAAGTAGTTGTGAGATGGGAGCACAGATGAGAGAAAAAACTGAAGGTCACCGCTTTCCTAAATGGTAAGTGTTTCTTCTAAAAAGTAGTTCACAGTGGCATTCCAGTTGCCCTCTTTGTGTGGTGACAACCACAGCAAGCAATCTCTCTCAGCCTGTGGACCATGGATTTGTGGGAGGTAAGGGTACCTGGGGAGACCAGAGCATCTACAAAAGGTAATTGAGAAAAACCAAATCTCTTATTTTTCTTGGAAGACTACTGTAAAGCGTTCAATTCCATTATAAATGGCTCTGCACAGCCTGAATGTTTTTAGGGCTGAATTCCAGGACGCAGCCAATGCTGAAGTACAGTGTTAAAGTTTAAGGCAGGTTCATTTCCTTCAAGTAGTAACTTTGGCATAACTTTCAACTGATAGCATTTCATTAAGCAAATATAAAAATTGTGAATCAAGAACAGCTTTCTGCTGAGAGACTTCCACTTGAAGCAAGAATGCTGCTGCAGATTTCCCTTTTCGAGCTTTGCCTGGGGCTGCCTGTGTTGGGGTTGCCTGCCTGGCTAGGGGCGTGGCAGAGTGCAGCGACGCTGGTGTTTTGGTAACGCTTTCTCTGCGTTGCCCGGTTCTCCGGGTTACTGTAGCAGTGTGCGGTGCCGCGGGGGCAGAGCCGGGGGTTCTGTGCTCCGGCGGTTCCGTGCGCCCCG